AATTTACTCATATATTTATGCAAGTTTCATGAATGAGGCCCATTGTGCCTAAAGAATACACCGAAAAAGGAGTTACAATTAGATCGCTTCAGAAGTCACTGGAGCCATATGTATTTCAGCTGCCTTTTTGGAGCTTGCATTGCACGGACCAACAGAGCAGAGATATTTTCTGCAGAAGAAAACTATCTAGAATAGCATTAGGGCAAGCAGCTGATGATAGAATTTTAATTGTTGTGTGAACTACTCTTTTAAAGAGCAAAGATTCTGTGTGCCAAATATTATTTAAATATGTCACCTGATCTCGAAACATAAGGGAGATGATTTCCAGGATGTGGAAGCTCCATTGCTGTTCACTCGGAGCACATGCCAGAAACTTAAGCAGATCGTCCAGCCCACTCATGTGAATGGCCCACAGCAGTTTATCATGAATACTGGCATCATCATCCACATTCTGCACATGAACACACAAAATAAAGTCTATTTTAAATATTTGACAAAAACAGGTTACAGCAACAACATTTAAATTTCAGACTCGGAGGTCAATTTTAGATGAGTGTTAAGTTATCATTTGCAGCTCAAAATTTTGTCTGTTGTTTAAACTCTGAACAATGTTTTGCAGAACTGCAACTACAACCAAGTAAACACTTTAATAAACATTATCCGTGTAAAAGCTTACGCAGCTTTTATGGTTTTGTACATTAATAACACATAAAACTGCTCCTGCTGCACAAAAACAAGCAGTTGTTGATTGGTATGCTATAATTGTTAATTTGACCTACAAAAAGGATTTTAAACATTTATACAAATTATAATATAGCAATAATACATTAAGTTTCCATGTTGCATTCAGGAGATGTAGGTCAATTCATGAAAAACGAGTGATACCAGATACCAAAATTTGCTTATATTTTTGCAACTGTTTCAAGAACTAAAATTATTTTGATTACATTTTGAATGCACCCTCTAGGAGCTGTGGGTGGCAATTGGTGAAGAACAAACCAACAGATTAGGAGGAGCAGAAATGAAGCCGTTACCTTGGCAACCCAGTACACAAAGCAGCTACTTTCCGTTTTTGAACAGGATTTAAATGTTTCAAACAGCCATTCAGATTTTTGCATTCGCAATGGTGTTCATCACAGCATTGTTAAAGACTTAAAAAGCTAGTTATTTTCAAACCTAAACATTTTTACATATTAAACTGACGTAAAACTTGCCCTGGATATTGACTGAAAATGTCAGATTTGTATTATTGTTCGGTCACATTTTACAACAAGGCTCCATTATTTAACATTACATAACTACTAGGGCTGCCACTAACGACTATTTTTATTTTGATTAATCTATCGACTAATTTATCGATTAATCGATAAATCTAAGCAATTAATTTCCCACAAAAAAATCAACAATTTTACTTAAGAATATTTTATTAAACTATATTTTATTAAACCAAATGAAATCCAAATTTCCATGAAATCCTTTTTTTAAAGCAAAAGTAAAGTGCAACAGAGTGCAAGAAGCAAGTGTCCATCTCATAGTCCAAATCACTGAAATCAAAGTTCAGTATTATAGTGTAAGAATGACAACATATCCATGTGTTCTAGTCTACTACTAATAAAATTATAATCAAAAAACACTTTTTAAAGGAGTATTTACCAGAAATATTATTTACCAGAATTTATTTAGGAGAAAAATGTACAGTATTGTGTATGTGCAGTATTTCTGAAAAAAAAAAGTTTTTTTTTTATTTATTTTTTTTAAATAAAATCAATTAATTGAAGATGATTTTGATTATTAAAATTTAATGGAACCAGTCAAACGGAATCCAGAAAATAATGGAAAACAGTATGGTAAAGATAAAACTGTAACACTCAATTAATTACACAGGCTTTTTGATTAATACAATTTAATTCAACTATTAAAACAGAGTATAGAGAAATGAAAATGAAAAAAAAAAACTGA